TGCATCAGTGTTCATTAGGGAGATTGGCCTGTAGTTTTCCTTTTTTGTGTTGTCCTTGTTCGGTTTTGGTATTAGTGTAATGTTGGCTTCATAGAACGTGTTTCGTATTGTCCCTTCCTTCTCAATTTTTTGGAAGAGTTTGTGAATGACAGGCACTAATTCGTCTTTGAATGTTTGGTAGAATTCATTTGTAAATCCATCAGGTCCTGGGCTTTTGTTTTTGGGGAGGTTTTTGATTACCATTTCAATTTTTCGCTGCTTGTAATTGGTCTGTTTAGATGTTCTATTTCTTCTTTATCTAGCTTTGGGTGATTGTAGAGTTGTAGGAATTTGTCCATCTCCTCTAGATTGTTGAACTTGTTTCCATATAACCGTTCATAGTAGTTACTGATTATTCTTTTGATTTCTGCTGTGTCCGTTGTGATTTCTCCTCTTTCATTTATGATCCTGTTTATTTGTGCTTTCTCCCTTTTTTCCTTTGTGAGCCTGGCTAGGGGTTTAAGACAGTAATTCTTTAGCCTTGGCAGATCTCAGTCATATGGCTACACCTAACTTCACGGAGACTCAGAAATGGTGTTCAGTCGTGTGCATAAGAGGAACTGGGTGTTGGCTTTTGTGGACAGTCAAGATTCCCTGTCACATGTACTAAATGGCACTTACATTCTTCATATTTGAAAGTTGATCAAAACATTTCCTGAATATCATATCTGACATCTGCATTGGCCCTTTCCTTTGTGTTGTCCACTTTAGTTGCTATTTATTTTGTTTTATATAATCCTTCCTGAATGTTCCCATCACTGTCAGTGTTTTCCTGACTCCCCAGGGGTCTTCAGAAATACATAATGAATAAACCTTTCTTCACATGTTAAGAAAATGTAGCTAAACAGATCATTTCAAAATATAGAGTGCTCATGAATTTTTTTCTCTCAATTTTCTCAACAGAAAGAATGAAAGAGGGGCTCCAATTTGGTCTTCATGTTTTGACTGCCTTTTGCTGCTGGGCGGGTATTTAGCATCAGCATGTTGGACACACTTCTGTATCAGGTGTCCATTTTTTTTTTTTAAATAGAGGCATGTTTTATTTATTTATTTGTTTGTTTGTTTGTTTTTGTTTATACATGCACTGGGTACAGTCAGAAGCACGGGGGGTGAGAGAATTCACCAGAGCCAGAGCGGGGAGCAGAGCAGGCAGAAGGACCGAAGTACACTGCTGAGGGGAGCAGCGGGCGGCAGGAGAGGTCTGCGCGCCATGTGGGACCCTCCTCCGGTGGCCAGGGAGCAGCTGGGGATCAAACCAGCGCCTCCGAGGCCACGGGCAGCTTCGCAACCCAGTGCTCAACCGCTGCGCCACCGGGGAGGCCCCCAATTTTTTTTTTTTAGTAAACTGTTTATATTGCATCCAGATGTTATTATAAATCATGCATTTAATGTTTCTTATGGACCCACTAATTTAAAATACTTTTAAAGGTAATTCAGTATTTCAGTTCATACATTTAATGAATAAAATGTGCCTACAAAACATTTTTGTAAGGTAAACATTTTTTTAGGATAATCTATGAGATAGATTTTTAAATGTTCAGTTTCCTCATTGTTTAATGCAACATTTAAATACATTTTTCACATTAAGCATATTACTGGACTGAATACAGGTTAAAAAGCAGATAACATTCTTCATAAATCTGAACTTTTTCCACATTTGAAAGAAAGCAAAATGGATGTCAATAAACTGATAAATCATGAATGTCTTAAGCCTTGCTAATTATTGCATACTTTAAAGAATACAAAACCAAGAACCTGGGTGCCAAGTTAACATTGTCAATTTATCCTAGCTGAAGTTCATGGAGATGTTATTTTACAAAAATATATTTCAATCTTTAAACAGACAAAAAACCTCTGGGGGAGACAAGGTTGGAAAGCAATAAAATGCCAGAAACTGAATAGCAGTAATATTTCATATTCTTTGATTCAAATAATCAGATAACTTCCAATGATTACCATCAAAACCAAAAATGATATCCATACAACTTTAATTTGATGACTTTTCTGTCAAATTAGGCATTAAAGCATTTTGTTTTGCCTTTTCCCTTTCAGATTCCATATTTAAAGTACCCTCTTCTACCATGCTTGACTGAATGATCCACGGAGTGTCAAAGCTTTTCTACTGACCTTTGGGCTAATTATGCTCATGAGTATGCCTCCAGAAATGTCAGGAACATCTGCGTTTGCCAGATGAGCAGGAACAAACACAAATAAACAGTGTAGCCCACACTGAAATTTCCAGACACATTTTCTGGGCACAAATCCCTGCAAGAGGTAGGACTTCTCCCACCCACATCCCCACACAAGTGTACTTCTGATCTCTTAACGGAGGATCCAGCAGAAGTCTTGCTTGAAACTGATCAATGTCCCTCACTAGCGGTCAAATACTTGATATGCACCAGTATATTCAGAATTTTATTCTTAACAGTATACTACAGTATACTTTCTACTATGCTATTTTTATTCTATAGCCATAGTTCCATATGCTCTCTTGAGGAAGTTTAACATGTAAGCTAAATAGATGAAAAACCATTATGTAGAAAGGAAAATTTTCTTTTCTTTTTCTTTTTCCATTACATTTTTTTTTAGCAGCACTTATTACTTTCCTTTATTTTTGCCTATGTTTTTGTTATAAACAAAGATAAAGGAAATTATGTTTTCTGGAGTTTCTGTAGAAAGATTGGACTAAAACAAGTTTCCAAAGTGTCTATGACTTAGCTACTTTTCCCCATCATCACCTGAGATAGTTCAGTGGTCCATTTTCCAGATAGGTAAGCACTGCTTATTTGTGAATTAGGAAATATTAGAAATGTAAAACATTATATCTATTAAAATTGTATAATAAGCATTCCTTTATTCTTAAAATATACTAAATACCATCTAATACATGACTGATGATTTAAGCCTATCCTCTTAATGATCATGTTACATATTTCAGAACAATTATTAAACTGTACAGACAGTATCATCAACCACAGTCTACTGATGAGGTCACAAGTTCCCCGAAAGAAAAATCATCCAGTGGTACATGTAAATGCTCATCCTTAGGCCATAACACCTCATCAGGTGACTCTCACCTCATTCCTGTGGTAATAAATAGTAAGCCATTTATATAATGGTTTAATTTCTTACAGTACTTAAAAAAAAAAACTTACTGCAAAGTTCTTTTCCTTTTTTATATCTTCTCCACAGTCACTTTTTGCTTTCCCACTGGAAAAACAGCCTATTTGTATTTTTAATAATATCTATTCTCATCTTCGTATAATTTATTGAACAAATAGGTGTCCTCTAAAATAAAATTAGATGCTAAGTGAAACCAAAAAAGATTTTTCTACAATTAAATTGTCTGAGTTTAATGTGTGGATTATGTGTTATCAGGTGTGGTTGTCCATATCCTTTTGGTGCATGCCTACTTTTTCTTTGTGCCATGATGAGGTTACAAGGCAGGTGTTTTCAGTACAGGAAATGTATTAATGACAAACACTAAATGAGCTGTGTTGCCACATCTGGCTCTAAAATAATTTAAAATAGTTCTCTGCCAAATCTTCAGTTTTTTCCTTCCATGAGTACATTCCACGATTCATCATGAAAAACAATAGTTTTTTAAGTGTCTGAAATGTTGTTGTAAAATTCTTCTTAGCACACACTGAGATACAAATGAAGTTAAAGGATGCTCTCACAGCTCCTTTTGGGGGCCCTCCAAATGTTCCCTCATTAACTTCTACATTAATCTACCTTGAAATCAAAAACTACATTTCTTTGACTTGAAAAGAGGATAGAATGTGTTTTATTTTTAATTTTTTTTTTAAATAGAGGCATGTTTTATTTATTTATTTGTTTGTTTGTTTGTTTGTTTTGTTTATAAATGCACTGGGTACAGTCAGAAGCGTGGGAGGATGAGAGAATTCACCAGAGCCAGAGTGGGGAGCAGAGCAGGCAGAGGGACCGAAGTACACTGCTGAGGGGAGCAGCGGGAGGCAGGAGAGGTCTGCGCGCCATGTGGGACCCTCCTCCGGTGCCCAGGAGCATCCGGGGATCGAACCGGCGCCGCAAAGGCTGTGGGCAGCTTCGCAACCCAGCGCTCAACCGCTGCGCCACCGGGGAGGCCCAAGAATGTGTTTTATTTTTTTTCCCCTCCCCAGGATGTGTTTTCTAATGTTCTTCTTTAAATGGGAGGGTTTTGTTTTCTGAAACTAGCTGTTTGTAAGTTAAGGTAGCAATTAACAAAATAGTATAGTAGATTTATATGAAAGGTGTTTTAACTTTTTAAAAGTCTGCTCTACAAAATAACTAGTTAAGTTTTTCACTTTTTAATTTGATCTTGAAGATCAAATTCAAGGCATTCACTTATAAAATTTAGCAAATGTTAGTTGTCATGGTGAAGTTTGTTTGCATCATATGAACTTTTTCTCCCTCATAATTAAGTGGAAGAAAGTATTGTTAATACTTTATTGAGTAATGGTCTAGAAATTTTTTAGTGTAACAGGGTGGTCCCCAGGGAAAGGAGAGCTTCCAGGTTCCCTGCCCCGCCCAAGAAAGGATGGAGTTGAGCAGGGAGGAGGAAAAGCTAGAAGACACTAAGAGAGGACTGTGAGAAGGGAGGAAAGAGCAAGTCGAAGACCTGCAGCAGAGTGACATGTGAAGAAGCTGTGCTTGCCTCTTGTCCTTGGACTTTTACCAGATACTTGGGGGACATGAAAAGAGACACTTGAAACAGATGTGGGTGAGAGACCCATGGGAAAGTTAAACAATAGCAGCCTTTATCTTGATTTTGATTCTGCTCTTTTCCCTTCAGATTTGTCTGACCCCTTTTGGCCCTTTCCACTGTGTCCCCACCAGAAGGTGCCTTAGAGTTATGGCAAGCTTTTGGGCCTCTGCACTTGTGCTTTAGGCCAACTCTGTTTTGCTGGACATTTACCTATGAGGGGATGGGTAACTTTGTTTTTTTTTTTTTTTTTTTAACTGTCCTAAATTGTTTATTAGGTAAGAATTTTACAAACATTACTTATTAGCGGTAACGGTGGAGCTGGAGAGTATTGCGCCTTTTCCAAGCTGCACGGCGAGAACCACCAATAGTGTGGTGGAACTTGTGGCCCTTTCCAAGACCACGGCTCTTGCGGCCTGCAGATGTTAGCCCCCGCATCTCCCTGTGCTTGTGGACTGGTTTAGTGATCCATTGGGTGTCAGGGTTTCTTCTGATAGCTTTATGGAATGGATCAATGAGGATAACCTCAAAAAATTTGTACGTGGAATCTTCACCAACCCAGTAAGAATTCAGGACTCTCAGAGCTCCACAGTGGCGTCCAGCTCGCTCTTCAGCAACAGATTGAAGGCTTCTAGCAAACTTCAGCTGATTTACACCATGGTGGACAGGCTTGCCATAGGTTGCACCCTTTGGAACTGGACGTTTGCGGCCACCACGGCGCACACGAATCCGATATATGACATAACCTTGCTTGGCTTTGTATCCCAGTCTTCTCGCTTTATCCGGCCGGGTGGGGCGGGGTGCCCTGTGGAGGGCCGACAGCTGGCGATATTGCCAGCAGCGCACCCTGAGAAGAAAGCGCATCACATCGGACTGCTTCTTCCTCCATAGTTCCTGGATGTATTTGTAAGCGCCCATTTTGGCTTACCTTTGCGGAAAAAAAACTGATGGCTGCCGCCAGATGGAAAGGGGGATGGGTAACTTTGGATGCTTGATTTGAAAAGCATATTCTTTCCCTTCTCTTTATTGTGCACTAAATTGTATTAAATTTTTTTCTTTTGAAGTTCTTATATAATAGAGTACATTCTGTCTTGAGGTGCAGGATGGCAGAACCCATTTAAACCAGCAGGTATGGGCTGCCTGGGTTGTACCTCACCTGCCCTGTAACAGTAGCACACAAGTGGTCCAATAATATTTAATAATAAACTATTACTTAATTCATATTATGATTCACTTCTTTAAATATTAGAAATTTATTTCAAAAGCTAGAGTAATCCTAAAAAACTAGTTGAAATATTATATTGAAAACTTTAGTTCATTCATTTTTTGATATTTTCTATTTTATTTCTCCTCATAGCTTTTATTATGTCTAATAGTATGCATAAGCTATACGCATATCAAATAGTCTACGGAAAGATTATTTCCCATATTTCCCTATGGACAGGTTAATTATGCTTGTATGTTTAGGACACTGAAAGATTTTTATTTCCTGTTTTAAAATACGAATATGATATGAGAAATGTCCCAGTTCAGTATTCTAAAATACAGCTTATATTTTAATAAGACTGATGTTTCTTTGTTTTGTCTTTTTTTTTTAAAAATCTTGATGTGTTAGGAGAACTAAGCTATGGGTATCACTACCTTTTGGAAGAGGTAAAATGTTTACCTCCCTGGCTATTGCACACATAATAAATACATATTTTGTTTATATTGCAGTTCTTTGTGAAGGATTACATGATTTCTATCACAGACTTCTACTGGGACTGGGCATTACAACAGACTCATGGTTTCTCTTTGTTCTGTAAATTAAACACGGGGATAGAAGATTGCCCCCTGGTGGACGGTTCTGATATCTCCGCCTCTAATGTACTTGAGCTAACTCTTTGGGAGACACATTTTTCATATATATATATATATATATATATACTCAAAGAATAGAATCATCATTCTTTCCTGTAAAAATTTTAAGGGAAGCATTTTAAATGAATAATCATGATAAAAATCCATTCTATAGAAAATTCAAAGCAGGTTTTTTTTTTTCAACCCGGCATTTTGAGACTGATGGTTTCTGATACAGGATGTCATAGTGCTGGGGGAAAAAAAAAACAAACAAACAGTGATCATGCAATTTAATCCCTTTGTTTTACACATGAGCATACTATGTCCAAGTGTATTTATTGAAGTGACTTGCTAACAACTCAAAACTATCAGAACTTCCCCCCCACATTTACTCTTGACCTGCAGATGCCTTCTTTTTAATTTTTTGACCACTTCATCTGGGTTGTGATCTCATCCTGGGTGATCTCATCCTTCTTTTTCCCTATAACCCCCAGATCTGGGGCCTTCCTCAGAATCTGTTTTCGATTTCTAACCTGAACCTGTGATCCAGAATTTCAATTTTTAAATCCCAATAAAGATGTTTTACCTTTTTAATGGTCTCGAGAATGTTTAGGTTAACACTTTTTGTAGAAGAAACAGCCTATCTATCTACATTTCATTCTGAATTTCAAACTGTTATGCCTCAGATGAACAGACGGAAGGCCATCTCTCCTGGTAAGCCGACGCAGCCCACAGACAGCAGGCGCAACCTGCCTGACTGCGCATGCGTGTCCCCCCTGCTTCGCGCTGACCCCGTGCGCATGCGTGCTCCACGCCCTCACCCAGCGCCGAGGCAGGTTCCTCCCCCTCTTCATGCTGACCCCGTGCGCATGCGTGTTCCGACGGCCGCGCGGGGCGCGAGGTTTGCGCGCTGGCGGCTGCTTTGCTTCCTCCGGGCTCGGTCTCAGGACCCAGCGTCAGACGCCACCCCAGGTCTGCTTGGAGACGACGCGGGGTCCCTTGACCACAGGTGAGCGGAGAGCGAGGTGAAGGTGAGGGAAGCCTGCCAGGGGGGAGTTGACCGAGGGACCCTGGGCAGGGGAGCCGGCGGTCCTGGGCGGACGGACCCGGGCTCTCGGGTGAGGAGGGGTCGCTCCTCTCCCAAGCCTGCGCGGTGCCTCTGGACCCCTCTACGGAGTAAAGGCTGTCGTCTGGGTACAAGTTAATAAAGTTAAAACTTGGTCTGTGCACTTTGTTTAGCTGAACAACGCTGCGAGACAAAATACGGAGAAAGGGAGAGCGTGATGGAGTTGCCATGGCAACCTGACCTTGGGGCCACGTGACCCCTAGAGGCCAATGGAGAATTCGGGGGAATGTGGAAATAGGGCAAACAGAACCTTATGGGACGGGTCCTGTGCCTGCTCAAGGCTCGCTGAAACCTGACATCCCAGCAAATCACAGCCGGCAGAACCCCAGTCTTGAAAAGTTCATCCAACTAGGTTATAAAAGGGAACCCCGAACCCTTCCTGGTGTGCAGACCTCTCCTCTCTCGCCCCCTGCTCTCCTGCAGCGTTTTTCAGTTAATCCACCTTTGTTCTCCACCCTCTCTGGTGAATTCTCCCCCCCCCCCATACCTCCAGCCTCACCCCCTGTATTAGTCGGCCACAGGTGTTGGGGCCCAAGGGTGCTGAGGGTGCCGAAGTTCTTGACTCCTACGCAGGAAAGAATCAGTATGGGTGAGTTAGAAATGGAGCTTTATTGTCGGTGATAGTACACACTTGAGAGTTAGTTGGGCAGATATAAGGGATAATTTGTGGGGTGTTAAGTCTGCTGATACAAGTACTTAGTTTGAGGGGGCAAGGTTCTCACAGATGGGATCCTGACCAGGTTTTGACCAATTTTGTTAACAAAGGGGCAGGAATTTGCAGATGAGAATATAGGTCTTGGCCAGTTTTGTTTCTGAAAAGCAGGGATCCCTAATTTGTTTGGCTTTTTTTTTTTTTTAATTTTGTATATTTTTTACATCATTTTTCATTTTTGTACACTGTATGCATTTTCATCTTGGTTATAGTCCCGGTACAATTCACACCCCTAACCTGTTTTATGACTAGTGGTGTACAGTGAAAAGTAAACTAATAGGGTTTGAGCCACTTTGTTCTGGAATGTGTGCAGCTGTTTTTTAGAGATGCTAAATGGTGCAAGTGGTGGGTGAGGGCTGCTGCCTTTGTGCTGAATTCCCCTTCTACCTCCAGGGGACCTTCCTCCCAGTCTTTGGTGAACTGAGCTCCTGCAGAGACTTGTTAACAGTGTGATATCCATAAAAAGGGGACCTTCCGAGGAAGAGTAATGCTGAGCAGCTAAGAGAAGCTAGAAAAGATGGGGAGCAGGGCTTAGGAAGATGACAACTTGGAGGAGGCACATGGAGCAGTGGGACATGTGAAGAAGTCAGTCTTGCTTCTCAGCCTTGGATTTGTACCAGGGCCTTATGGAACATGGTAGGGGAGACACTTGAAAGACAGAAGTGAGTGAGAGACCCTTGGGGAGCCTGACAATGGCAGCCATTATCTTGACTTGTATTTTGATTTTGCTCTTTTCCTTCCTGCCTTGCCTGGCCCTTCCTGACCCTTTCTTAGACTTACCCATGAGAAGGTGCCTTAGACTTGTGCCAAGCTTTTGGGCCTCAGTGGCCCTGCTTTGGGCAAACCCTATATGGGCATTTACCCTCTAGGGGATGGGTGACCTTTGGCATTTAATTGGAAACTTAACTGTTAAGTTAACTTTGTTTTCCCTCTATTATTCAGTAATTGTATTAAAGTTGTTTTCAACTGAAGATCTTATGCACTAAGAATATGTTTTGTCTTCATGCAGCGGATGGCAGAGAACCTATTTAGAGCAGGCAGGTTTGAGGTTGCTAGGGTGCCCCTCATTCTGCCTTCTAACAATACTTGGCATTGCTATACTCACACTCCCCAGCATCTGTGCTTTACCATATACGTCACTTAACATGAAATATTCCCCAGCATAACCCCAGTGAGAAAATCATTACAGTTTCCATATTATAATCCAATCCACAGGCCCATTTCAACTTTCACCACCTGCCCCAACTGTGTGAAAACCCCTTATTCCACTCTGATCTACTTTTCTCTTGAAACTGTTCCTGAGACTGTTCCTTATTTTCGCAACCTTAATGGATTTAATGTGCAAACATGCCTACAATCTGGGTGGCCTTTTCTGTTTGACACCTCTTTCATTTAGGCGTTTGTATGCATGCAATTTCCCGCCCCCCCCCACCTCTATAGCCCATTTGTTTGCATGTTTAAAAGTTTGCTCCTCAGAGTTAGAGTTGATTTCTTTGGTGGTATTAAACCAAGGAAAAAAGACATTACAATTTTTATGGTGGATTATAATTGAACCATGGCAAAAACAGGACAGTATTTCAGTTTTAATTTATTTATTTTATCTACCCCCCCCCTGCGCCCCCGCACTGGCCCTATTGATAGTGCTAAAAATAAGAGATACTTTCAGAATCAGGCTTATGCACTTGAGGTTCTCTCTTCTTGAAATGCCCAGTGTATCAGTCCATTCAGGTCATTGTCAAATAGCCACCTAAGCCAGCCCTCACTAGGTCACTCTTTAATAGCGCCTCTGTAACCTTAATCTATTTTGCAGACCTTTTCTTCATAGTATCTACTAGTACCCTACATTTTTTTCCCATCAACATCCCTTACACCCCTTTGACCCTTTCTCTCTCCCCCTTCCTTCTTAACCTCAGAAACCTCACTGCTTTCTCAGACCCCACTAGTTTTTAACGATCTTTTTGTTTTGTTTTGTTGGCTCATCTGCTATGTAAACATCCAAGATTTGTCTTTTTCATTCTGACTTGCTTTACTATAAACAAGTCCCTCAAATTCCATCCATTTTGTTGTAAATGGTAATATTTCGTCTTTCCATATGGCTGCATAGTTTTATGTTATGTGGATATACAACATCTTCTTGACCTAGTCCTTTCTCAGGGGGCACATAGGTTGTATCTTTGTTTATGTGTAATTTGGCTATAAATAGTGGAAGAGGTGAGCTGGGCATCTTCACTCTGCTGTCATCTTTTCAGTCTCCCATCTCATGTTCATGCATGTGGTAACTTGCTAG